AAAGGCTTTCTCCACTCTACCACATTGATTCTCAATAAGAACTTCTTTTGATACTGTGATCCCAAAGAACTAGTTCTGCCACTTTAATTATATGATCTGGGGAAAATTACTTAATCTCTCTCAGCATTATTCCTCATAAGCAAGTGAGTATAATAATACCTGCCTCTAGGGATGGTATGAGGAATAAATGATAAAATCAATGTTAAGTGCTTATCATAATGCCAGGTACATTGTAAGAGCTCAGTAAGTGTTGGCAATGGTCATTTTTGTAATTTCCTTTTTCTTGGTTTCCTTTAATTCCTTCAAACTGAATAAAATAATGAATGACTACACCACATTGTGTATATTATTATTCCCCTCTCCCTTATTGGGAGAATACCTGTATACCTTCCAAATTAGAAGGCTGTTTTTAAGTTGAAATATCTCAGCTTCTAGAATTTATGCTGTGTCCCTACAGAAAATTTTCCTCTTCACATTGAGTGGAATTTTCTTCCTTGCATATCACCATCTTCAAAGAGCTTGGGCATTTTGAGGTTTTTGTTTTCTTTTCATTGCAACATTGACCAGGACTTCAATTCCTCAAATAAAGACTGAGATAAAGACTGACTTTCCTGTCACATGACATTTCATTTTAAGCAGCTTTAGGTTGTGAGAGCACAAGAGACCCAGAGCAAAAAGTGCTAGGTTTGGCTACTCAGCTGCTAGTTCCATCAGCAGGTCAGCAAGCAGCCCCATCCCATTGCCATGTGATTTCCTAGGAAATAGTCATTTGCCCTAACACCAGAACAGAGAATGCAATGATAATAATCTAAGCAGATATTTGGAGAAGATATGTGTTTTGCCAGCTATGGCACACTCAATATAATAATGATCCATACCTTTGGCCTTTCCTATCAAGGTCTTGAGTAGGTCAATGATCTCTATGGAAGTCATCTTGCATCATATCAAGGTGAAGGTACTGGTTGGAGAACCTCAGAAAAGGATCCAAATATTCTACCAAAATCTGGGCCTTTCTCACTTCCAAAGGGGTTTTTGGGATTTTACAATAGGGCAAATTTTCTATTAAAAGAGATTTGGAAAACTCTTCTTCCTACTTTCTTAGGAAATGACTGTGATATCAAGTTTGAAATAGGTTCACTCAAGGAAGAAAGATTCATGTGCTGAGTGTGCACCAGTAATTTACTTCTCCATTTCTTCCTGCATAAGTTTAAATACTTTCAGTGAGTCTGGGCTCTGGCACCTGGACACTGATCTATAACCTGGTATTGAAGAAGCAAGGCTTTTGGCCCATTTCAGGGCAATATAGGCATCAGGAGAGTACACCATTATGAATACCGTGACCACTACAGTCATATTCACAAGGCAGCAAAACTAGTGATTCATAATTGTAATTTATTAACAACTACTTTATAAATAAAACTAGGGGCCCGGGGCACGAAATTCGTGCACTGGGTGGGTGTGTGTGGGGGGGGGGGGATGTCCCTCAGCCCAGCCTGCCCCCTCTCACATACTGGGAACCCTCAGGTGTTGACCCCCATCACCCTCCAATCGCAGGATCGGCCCCTTACCCAGGCCTGATGCCTCTGACCGAGGTGTCAGGCCTGGGCAGGGGACCCTCATTTCCCCCCATCACTGGTTCTGCCCCCAGCCCAGGCCTGATGTCTCTGGCCCAGGCGTCAGGCCTGGGCAGGGGACCCCCAGACCCCTCTGATTGCTGGCTCTGCCCCTTGCCCAGGCCTGATGCCTCGGCCAGAGGCGTAGACCCCCATCACCCTCTGATCGCCTGATCGGCCCCTTGCCCAGGCCTGACGCCTCCGCCAGAGGTGTCAGGC